TGCTGAACTTTTCCCACATTGGATGACGGTAGGGTGTGAGAGTGAGCGAGCAAAAGAAACGTAGAGGAGAGGGGCTGGAAATAGAAGTAGATGAGCACCCATTCAGCAAACCAGGCACCAGTCCCAGGGCTGCGCACTAGCTGTCTGAATCTCTGTCCCAGAGTAGCACGCTGTTCAGCGGGGATCTTCCCAAGCAAGCCAATGCTGCAGTACTTGGTCGTAAGTGCACCCATCTACCAAGATGCCAGATCAAATGTAGGAATTGCCGATTCCTCACTCCTTTCATGCTCCTTCATCCCTGTGGTGAAAACTGTGACTCAAAGCCCAGACACCTTCTCAAAAATGAAGCCTTTAGGGACCCGTTGGTGGCATGCTGGTTAAGGTGCTGGACTCCCACATGGCTGAATGTGGTTTGAGTCTTGGATCCGACAACTTGCTTTCTCACTTTCCTTCTCTCTCTTTCTGTCTGTTTCTCTCTATGAGTGCATGTGCCCTATAGCAAATTAATAATAATAAATAAAACAAATCACTCTTTAAGAAAAAATGAAGCCTTTATTTTCTAGTTACTGAGAGTGCTGCTGGCAGATGGTCAACCCCCTTTAGGAGTTGCCTGAGCAGAAGAAAACTGGTTCATTCAAGGTCACGGTCCCTTTCTGGGGCATGCTGCATCTGATGACGGATCAGCACAGGAAGTATAAAGGTTCAGGCCCGCTCGTCCCATTGGAAGACAACTCTGAAAGACGTCCATAGCCCTAGAGCTCCTCCTGGGGTTGACTGAAGATTTTGTTGGGACTGAATTGCTGCTCAGCTTTTCCCCTTGGCCAACCCTAGTTCATCCTCTTTCGCACAGGTGTTGATCCAAGAGCACTGCTTAGTAAACATCCTCCACAGTAATCTCTGTTAGAGCCCGCTTCCTGGGGAACATAACTGCATTGCTCCCATATTCAATCAATCACGAAGTCCTGTTGACTTTAGCTACTGAGTGTTCCTTGAGTCTGTCTGCTTGTATATCCACAGACACTCTCTTGCACTACTCTCCTAGCATCCTAAGTGGGCCACATTTTACAGATGCCTCCTTTCATGCACCTTACAGCCAAGCAATATGCTCAGCCTACAAATCTGATTTGCCACACTTCTGATTTTGGCTTTTGGGATAGAGAAAACCTTTGAACAAGATCTGCACAGCCCATGTGGTTAGCTCCTACTGACCTCTCTAGCCACCTTGTATCAAGTCACTGTGATTCCTGCTTTCTCTACTGGGGACACATGGGACTCCTTTCAGCCTTTTTTCTCCTATTTGTTCTCCAGTTACATGGATTTTGCACATATTGTCTGGAAGCTTCTCTTTTCCTTCTTTACTTAATTAACTTTTACTCACCCATCTTTGCTCAAGTAGCAATTCCTCAGGGCTATTTTCCCTGGCTTCTTCTCTTGTGATTGGCAGAATTATTAGATGACTCCCAATGACTCTCATCCTTGCACAATCTCTCTTGAGGTGGAGGTGGACAGTGAATGTGATGTGGTGATACTTCTGCAATTATGTTATATGGCAAAAGGGATTTTGCAAATGAAATTAATGTTACTAATTAGTGAAGTTCAAGATAGGTGATCTGACTAGCCTTAACCAAATCACATGAACCCTTTTAAAAAAGTTTTCTTGGGGTCAGCAGGTTGTCTGGTAGTTGAGACACTGGACTCCAACCATGGTTCGAGTCCAGGACCTGGTGGCTTGAAACTTACACTAGGTGTGTTAGTGAGCATGCTCGAAAATCACAGGAGGAGAGTGGAGGAGAAGGGATTGTGGCCTGGCATCCTCCCCTGCCCCAGGGGGAAGGTGATTTCTCACTTTCCCTCTCACTGTGTCTCTCTCTGTCTCTCTGGTGAGCAAAAACCTAAAAAAAAAAAAAAAGAAAAGAAAAAGTTTTCTATGTCTGGCAGCAGAAGAGGAAATCAGAGAGATTTGAAGAATGAGAATGATTCAACAATGTTGCAGATGGAGGGGATCACGTGACAAGGAATGCAGATGACTATTGCTGGCCTGAGGATACAGGAGACCACAGGGCAAATACCTGAATTGGGCTCTAGTTGAGAGCAGTCTCCAGTTGACAACCAGCAAAAAGACAGGGGCTTTGGTCTTCCTGTGGGTCTTTAGGAGACAATTCAGTCTGGCTGTTACCTTGACTTCAACCTTGTGATATCCCGAGAAGAGAACCAGGCACACTGTGCAGACTTCTGACCAACAGATCTATGAGCTTATAAATGGACATTATTTTAAGCCATCAGATTCTTGGTAATTTGTTATTGGAAAACAAATTGGCATTGGAAAAAGTGTACAACCCTCATCTCAGCAAATGCAGACTTCTGCAAGCCATGTGAGCAAGAAATGGGAGTAATGCAAATGAATTAAGTTTTGGAAGGACTGCATGGAGGTTGATGTGAAGAGCAATGTAAAAGATGGGACCAGTTGGGAGGCCACAGCTGTAATTCAGGTGAGAGAAGACAGTGGCTTGAACTGTCAAGGAGGTGGTGGAGAAGATGGATCCAAGTGCTATTTAGGAGGTAGGGAGACAGACATTAGAGACTGTTTGCATGTGGAGGGTGAGGGAGAAGGATGAGTTAAACAGGGATAAGGTTTCTGGTATTTGGATGGGAAATGTCTGATGATCATCTGCTATGTTCCAGGCACATAACCTTTAATTACACTTAATCCTCACAAAGAACTATAAGGTTATGTCCAATGTTACACTATTTTAGATGGAAAACATTGTGGCTCATAGAAAGTTTAAGTAACTTCTCCAAGGCCACAAAGCTACAAGGTGAAAGAGCCAGATTTCAAAGCCAGAAATTTTGGGAGTCAGAATTCAGATGTTCATACCATGCTGTTTTCCAGAATGAAAAGTCTTTGGAAGTCTTTCTAAATTTATTTGATCATTTTCTTTCTCCCATTTTATTTATTTATTTTTCACTTTTTTTTTTGTCACAAAGTCTCTAATTTTGGGGAAAGCAGGTGGCATGGTGGTTAAGGTGGTAGATTTTTACACGGCTGACCAGAGCTCAAGTCTCACAGTGGCTTGAAGATCACCCTGGACACATGTGCATGTGTGCCCCAACATCCTGAGAAGAGAATAGAGGAGAAGGGATTGTGACAGCCATCTCAACTGGCAAGCGAGTTCTCACTTTCTCTCTCCATCTCTCTCTGGTGGGTGCATATATCCTATAGCCAAAATCTTAAATAAATAAAACAAAAAGAAATTGCTCTAATTTCAATTCTCACCTTGACA